TATACAGGCAATGCACGTTCACATTTTATGAAAAAGTATTGAAACTTTGGTACTGTGTATAACCAAGAGTACCCAAAGTCAGGCATCACTTCACTGGAGTGCTTACTGTCCAAAACGCAAAATCAGTCTTAACATTTTTGGTGCTTAAATTTTATAAAGAGATATAATCACTCTGAATTTGTAAAAATTACAACAAATAAAAAAATAATTAAATTGTACAAAAAATGTTTCCTGTGGAATTGCCTAAAATATTACTTTCTTATAAATTTGCAAAATCTAGATGTGAGTATAAAAATAATCATATATTGGCAATTATCTACTTTCTCCTAGCATACCCCAAAGAAGACTATAAAATCATGTGGGATCTCTCATAGACACCAGTTTTGTATCCTTACACGTCTAAGAGAATACAATAATGATTCTCCCGGCTTTCTTATTTATCAAGACTATGGCAGAAAAGATGGTGTGCAGAGGAGGGATAAACTGAGGCTAGTAAATGTAATCTGTCTGCACCAGGCCACCATCCCATTAGACATCTACAAGGTTATCACAGAATGTACAGAGACCAACGTGGCTGGTCTACATTAATGTGTAATATCATGTAGACAAGATTTTTTTAGACAATTCTAAAAATGACAACATTGAGAAAAAAAATCAGAAAATAATGTTTATTGTCTGCAAATCATCATGGTTACATGCCTTCAAAGTATGTATTAACTTGGACTAAATATTTATAATCAGTGCATTTCCCGACTTATTGTTGCCCTGTAATGGAAACCCTCTTCCAAAGTGTTCTATGGTCGGAAGCATCTTTTATTTAACTTATAAGCAGACAAGTAGTCAAGTACAAGTGCACACTCGTGAAACCAGATAATACAAACAAATACTGTGCATCTCAAAAATGTGCTCTGCGCCACTTTCAGGTGTTCAAATTGTATGTCATCTTGGAGGATAAGTGGGACTTCTGACCGAAAAGGACTTAGTGTAAAGGAGCAACAGTAATCCAGGTGATACACTGAATAGGAGTATATGCAATGTAGGCACAAAGGCTACAATACATACATTCTTTAATGTTGGTAAAGACAATATAAAGATGACTGTTCTTTTAAGTAAAAAAAAAATATACGATATTTTTATGTTTTTTGTATTGGTTTTATTTTTTCGATGCCTAACCACAAATAAACATTAAAAAAAAATAGTTTTTTAAGGGCAAATAAAAAGGACAAAACAACCTGTCCTATTTCTGACATGTCCCTGAATTACAGCGATGAGATACCTACCCATTGTAGACTTCAAAACATGGAGGAATGCTATGTTGAAGTTGTTGATAACCAACAATCTGATTGGCTCATTCAATGCCAACTCCTTGATATGGAATCAGTGCACAAGCCCAAATGAACCAAAGCAGGATTAATCATAAAGTATCCTTAGGGAACTGCCTAGGGCCCAGCAGTTAGACGGGGGAGGTCCAAGCTAGTCATCTGCTTATCTGCCTGTGGAATTGTAATCCTTCAAGAATTTATTCATGACAAATGGCCAATGTTGAATCATTCGTGGGTGCAATCATGGTAGGTGCATATCACGAAAGACTCATGACTGTATTTGGAGTAAAATATGGTGTACTGTGCATATTTTTTGGAGATGGAAAAATAATCCAGATAATATACATATTTATTTACAGGTTGTAACACAAAATGTGAACATATCAATAGTACTAATATTTAAGATACTGTAATACAATAAAGAAATATGGACTACAGTAAATATTTTTTTTTAAATTACTGTTATTATAAGTTGCACATTATTATTAGGCAGTAAAAAGTACATCAACCCCATTATTTACACCTCAACTTATCAGCTAGATTCTTGAGGACTCTTTCTATGTCTCTATGGTTACCGTTGTGTACATCCAACGAACCATTGTAGGGAATAATTGTTTCCGACAGCATGTATAGTATGTAATTTAACCACAGCTGGATTTTCAAGTTTTCTATGTTGTCACTAGGCTATGCCAGCCAGGGAAACGGAGATTAACCTCATAGAAGATCAGGGCCAGCGAGCCGACCCAGAACATCACAGGCCTTTCTGCCCCCACCCCGGCTGCCTGGACATTATACACAGACATTCAAGCAGATTGTTGGAGGGACGCTAAATAGACAATGAGATTTCCATTGAATTTGAATACATTTGAGTGATAATGTGGCTGGAGGGTGTGAGCTGAATTATAATGGTGGATGAAGTGATACTTGAAAACATTATACCAACTCTTGCCGCTCTGCTAAGAATGAGCCCAGGGTTTCTCTTCCAACCAGCAAGGACAATAATTCCTGCTCTACTGAGCCATTGATATATTGTAAGTCAAATTGTATCTGCATGTATCTCAGTATATTTAACTGGCTTACATGTAGAGGAAAGTTTTATTTGCATGATCTATCTATATCAGGGCTAGCCAATCTTTTAACACATACCGCTCACTTTTGTATCTTTGTTGATGGTAAAATTACCTTACTGCCCACAAGTGCCGCAGTAACACATTTTATAGCACGAGTGTGATTTATTTTTTTATTTTTTTTAGAAAGGAGGTTTTTAAAAACAATATGTACTTAAATGTATCTATTTTTTCCTTATTTTTCCTTTTTTCTACATGTGAAGGGTGCTCTGTGTGTGTGTGTTTTTGTGTGAAGGATGTAGTGTGTGGGAGGGGCAGTGCGTGTGTGGGGCAGTGCGTGTGTGAGAGGTGAAGTGTGTGTGATGGGTGTAGTGTTTTGTGAGGGGGCAGTGGGTGTTTGTGGGCAGTCTGTGTGAGGGAACAGTCTGTGTGTGTGGGGGCAGTCTGTCTGTGTGTGTGAGGGGGGCAGTCTGTGTTTGTGAGTGGTGTAGTGTGTTTATGTGTGAAGGGTGCATATGTTCTATGCTGTGTGTAGGTGGGTGAGATGTGAAAATCTATCTTAATGTCTTCCCCTCTCTTCTTCTTACCTTTTACCAGGGCGGTGGACATAATGTTGCAAGCCCTGGTCAAGTGATGGCATGCCTGCAGTTCCTCTGGCTGCATGCTGACTCTTCTGTCCTCCTGCGAGCAGAGCACAGTATCGGAGCGGTGCCATGGTAACGCGCTGCAACGCTCCAACCAGCCTTATTGACGGAAGAAAGTCTTTCCTCCTTTTGCTGGAACTAAGTGCCAGTGGGCGGTGAGGGAGATCTTTGATCTCCTCACCAGCCTGAGAAGGCTTACAGCAAGACTGGCTCTGCATGGGCCGGCAGGGGAGATGACAGGATCTCCCCTGCCGGCCTTGGTCCACGGCCATCGAGGCCCACTGAGTGCTTTCTGCAGAACCCACCACCGCCCACCTGAAATACCAAACTAGTGGGCGGTAGGGACCAGGTTGACTACCCCTGATCTATATCATACACATCACTCATTTCTCAATCTACTCCTCACAGAATATATAACACATCAGCAAGAGGATACAACACTTCAACAAAAGGATTGCTTTTGCCTTTATTTTAATGCCCTGGCATATCAATATGGGTCAAGATTGATGCAATGGGCATTAAGCCCTGAGCAGGTACTCTATAAACTGGACCTGATGGACAAAAAGGTGGGGTGTGATCTGTTCCCCCTGAACCCCCCCTTCTTTTACAGACAGCAAGTGACAGGATATGATGTTAGGTGGTATCCCCGGATGCAAAACAAACTTAGGACAGTGAGACAGGATCCTAAAATAAGCACTGTGCTGTCATAAGCGGGGCACTTGCAAGGCCTGTAATGCCTTCAGGGTCCTAATAAATATATATGTGACCAGTTTTGTTTGTCTAGTTTTGACATGCTTTTAAAATATTGAAACATAGTGTGACGAGAGCAATCTCGCCACATTGCATTGGAGAAGCCTGGTTGCTCGCCTGTTGCCTCTGGACTATGGCCCCATGATAAAACGCTTGATTTTCCCCTGCGGGGACATGAAAGCCGGGTCATTCGGTGCTGGCCCTGTTTGAGCGGTGATACCCCAGATAGCTCTGCCATGGAGCCCATTCGTATAATGAAAGACTATGGGAAAGACTTTGGCTCCATGGCAATTGAACTGTATGTGTGTGCTCTGAGCGCCATTCAATAATAATGTGGGCTCAGATCTGAGCTATCTGGGGATATGTTGAATGTACCTGTTTTGTGCAATGGCTGCACAGTTATATGTTTTTATGTGTTTTATTGTCTTTTGCTGCCATGTGTTCAATGGAGTTTTGCCTCTGTCCTTGGAGATAATTGGATTACTTCCCAATTATCTCCAGGATAGAAGACTCTGTGGAACTGGTTTTGGGCAGAAAAAACATGCTTCCTTTGGTCACAAAGGACTACGATCTATCTTTTGAACCATTGGACCAATTTGTATGAATTTGACATATGTTTGTATTTGGAGTATGCTGATTCTGAAAATGTAAGTTTTATGTGAATGTGATGCATACTTTTCAAGTTATGAATAATGTGGAAAAATTGTATTTCTCTGCTTGTGCTAATTACATTACCCATTGTGTAAGGTAATTGAATCACAGGCAGAGGGGAGGAATTTGTGTGGGAGTGTCTGAGTGTATTGTATGTGTTTATTGGTTGTGTTTCAAAACCCTGTGGTGGTACTAATGTGTAAGAATGTGTACATAAGCACAATAAACCCACAGCTCTGACTGTTCACTACTTGACCCTCAACACGGAGCTTTGTCTCGTTCTTGGGGGGATTTATTGTATGCTGTTCCAGTTTGACTGCTAGGAGTGTAAACCTATTCGTATATTTTTTCCTATTCGGTTGTTTACAGCATTCGTATGGTTTCCTGTTCGGCGGATTGGGGTTCTGCAGTAGCTGAGCCTGTCTCTCTGGAAGGGAAGATCTACTAAACGGCGGTTTAACCCCTTTTATGCTCGGGGTGCTGTTACACATAGAAACATAGAATGTGACGCCAGATAAGAACCATTCCGATCACCTAGTGAGCCCAAATTTCTAAATACTTTCATTAGTAGACATGTGCAATTAATTTCGTTCAGAAAGTAAATTCGGACAAATTTCAGCAATTCAGACATTTCGGAAGTGCTGAAGTGCTTCGGATTTCTGAAAAGTGGCAAAACAAGAGAGGGAGGGAAATTTACGTGAATGATGACAGGAATCTAGACCAATAAGCTAATTACTGGCACTGGGAGTCCTATAGATGTGTAACTGGTTGTGGTGGCAATCCAGGCACCTAACCCTACCCCTACCCTAACCCTAGATGTGTAAGTGGCTCTGGTGGTTAGGGGTAGGGTTAGGGAGCCCTACAGGTGTGTAAGTGGTTGTGGAGGCAAGAGAGGGATGCTTATGAATGTCCGAATTGTCAAATTCCCGAATTTCGGAAGTGTTGAACCGAAGTGCTGAATTGTCGAAGTCCCAAATGTCGGAAGTGCCAAACCAAACCGAATTGCCAAATTCACAAATTTTGGAAGTGCCGAAGTCCCGAATTGCCAAAGTCCCGAATTTCGGAAGTGTCGAACTGAACCAAATTTTTTGCCCATGCACATCCCTTTTCATTAGTCCCTGGAATTATCTTATAGTTAGGATAGCCTTATGCCTATCCACGCATGCTTAAACTCCCTCACTGTGTTAACCTCTACCACTTCAGCTGGAAGGCTATTTCATGCATCCACTACCCTCTCAATAAAGTAATACTACCTGAAAATATTTTTAAGCCTTTGCCCTTCTAATTTAGCCGGGGATAAGGAACACTGTATACTGTCTAAAACAATGAATTCCCCAATAATGTCTATAAAGAATAAAGGAAAAATAAAATTAGTGTAAATGTCTATACTTTTATTATTTAAGTTTGTCTAAAAGCAAATCTGAAAACAAAATTGCTGTTTTATTCTCTCTACCTCTTGTATTTGTCTGTGTATATTGTACGTTCTCCACTAATTGTACAGCGCTGCGGAATCTGTTTATACTGGCGCTTTATAAATACCAGTAATAAATAAATAAATGAAATTATGTGTTTTTATGCTTGCTATGTGTCCCTTGTTTCAAGTAGATGTTATACTTTTTTTCAAAGAAATAGTGCTGGGAAGGAAGGGTCCAATTCTGTTAAATTGCAAATCAGAGGTAAAATATGAAAAAAAAAAAAAAAAAAGCGCACATGAGGATCAAAATAAATGGACAGCATATCAAGGGTTAGAATTTCATACAAAGTACTATACAGTATTCAGCTATTTATTAAACCAAAAATGTACTGAATTCACTCCTACCTGCTCCACTGCTTGGTGCATTCATAAAATCTATATAAATCTGCAATATTCAATCACTTGCTAGGCAAGCAGTCAGCAGACAAATCATTGTCTACTAAATAAATTAAAACAAACAGGGATCCTTCCTAGACTACTGGGACAGTAATATGGTCCCTCCATTTTACGCACACAATATTTACACTGTCAACAGGATCCGCTTTCTGGGTTTCATTTGCTAATCTGAAAAGATGTGATTTGACATCCTCGGATGCCTTCAGACTACAAAGAGAAAATGTGCTGTGTTTGTTTTACCCTCAAACATCTTTCCGTGATGTTTGTTTGTTGGTTTTGGGGATGTCAACAATTTTGGAGAGTGAAAGGATGACCCATAGAGAGGTGACCCATTGTAACAGTCAGGCTAAAATGTTGTTGTGGCATGAATTGCATGTTTCACAATACGTTTGTCTTTTATTTGAAGCTGTCAAACCAAGTCCTCTGTAAAGCAAACGCCAACCCAAAGACCTGTAGCTGAGGAAACAAAATATCTCGCTGATCAGATGCTGGCCATCCAAGGCTTCAGCCAGGAGAATTAAATCTCAGCCATCTCACTCACTATCTGCTGTGTTTTCATATGTGTGATGTAACATTACTTTCTTTATCAAGACAAAGTACAATTTGCTAATGGTTTCCAACTGAACAACCTAATCAATCAATCAATCAAAAAAAAAATTAGGTGTGTTCCAATTTTATTCCTTTGGAGATGCCTACAAATAGACTTGTGCTTTCAATTTCAAACAAATCGTGATCAGTCCGAATTTTTGGCGAATGATGATGTGTTCGTAATTTCGCAACTCTTTGTCGCCATATGGATGAATCATGAAACGGGCAATGGATAAGCTGGTTTTTTTGCTTTTTCCCCATCTGTTGGTTACTTTTTCTTACTTTATCTGTGAACCAAATTGCATGAAAGTACAAATACACTTATCAATGTACTGCAATATATACATAATATAAATATCCAGAATTCTTTTTCCCTCTGAGGCAGAATTGGAAATCCCATCAGATTTCTCTTCTTGACGATAAACAGCAGCAACATGTGAAAGTTTGACCTTGAGGTTTTTTTTTTTTCCTCAATCTGAATGACTAGATGTATGGAGATACTGCCAAAAATGTCACACGGAACATTCTGCATCAATAAAGACTGAAGCACAATTTGGACCGAGGATTCTTTCATTAAGATTTTTTTTGGCCGTATGGTAGACTCAGTTGATCTGTGGAATCGAGCCTGTTGACAGATACTAAAACAACTCAGCATGCAGCTAAAGTGTCAACATCAAAAGAACTCGTTTCAAATGGCAATTGTTAGTTGAGCAGTTTAGAAATATCACAGGTTTAATGACAGAGCTAGGATAGGTTAAGAGTTTGGCTGGGGGGGGGAAGGATCTAGGAGTATCTAATGTTGGGTGTACTTGGCTTTAAGGACGCTTAGAGGGAACTAATAAAAATGATTTAGAGGGAGCCAGGATGAAAATAGAGTTACCTCAATAATTAGTCTCTCTAAACAGCGATCACAATTTCTACTTTTTACTAGAGATTGAAAATTCACCCCTGGCGAGCGTGCCATGGATCCCCCAGACTTGCTGTGGTGACTGGTGAGTAACTTTCAAGGCCTAGATAATAGCATTGGACTTGAAATTCTGAACCCTGCAAGTAAATGCACTGCATGTTTTACAGCAGCTGTACCCCAGAGTCATTGAATCACTTGGTAAAGCAGTGGACCGGGACTGTATAGATGCTCCTCTATTTTGAATGCAGCAACTTTACAGATTTGCTATTCTGTGTCTTTTATTTTTTTATTTTTTTTATGTAAATATTTTTGTGAACATAAGCGGACTTATTTCCCAAAAGATATGCAACATGTAGACTCAACAAACAATCACAACTATTGAGGAGTGACCCACTCACTAACCAACAATCATATCCCACTAGAGTTCTTCATTATTGCTTTGCACCCAAATGTTCCATAATCTGCACCCTACTTATAGGAGAACCAAATAACCTATAGCATCCAAGATTTTTTTTTTTTTTTTTTAAACAAAGTTGAATTTGTTCCTTGGTTGTTCTGTTCAGATTCTCTTTTTCCGGTGTATCATTTACAAGGGTAGTTACAAGTCAATATGTAGGAGATTGATGATTGAGAGAGCTTTCTCACACGCCTTTACATTTCCACACTGGCTGACAATGCATTAACCAGATTAGGACTTTCCTGGTAGACGTCCATGTGGTTCAAGCTTTTCATGCTGCCTGGGAGCAGTAGTTTGGTTATAAACAGTGATTTCTGAACACTTATTAAACTTCCCCACACTGTTCTATTCTCGAATAATCTGTGTAAGGCAGCACAGAGCAGGAAAATGTGTTCCTTGTGGGCACAGCCATCCTTTTTCCGAGATAGATTTTTTCCTTCTTTTTTCATTTAACTTCTCTGCAGCTGGCTGGGGGATTGACACTTCTTGATACTGGTAGCTCCGCCAAGTGACAGGCATACCACTCGATCATGCAGTCAGGCTTGTCATGGTAAATAACACATTTCCTAAATATTAATTCAGGAGTTGCTTATAGCAACAACTGTCAAACTACTCCCATCAGCTTTATAATCAAGAACTGCATATTACGCTTACTATGCTCCTCAAAAAAGAATCTCTAAAATGAAGGGACTTGGCTATCCTTTTGAAATGTGGGACTGATGGAGCAGGTCTTTATCACAGTTTGAACCTGATAAACCATAATATCATGACTCAATTAATAGAAACATCAACTAGAAGAGATGCTTGTCTGGATCCACTCATAATGTTGACTATTTTCAAACAGTCATGTTAGGGAGCACTTGGGAAATAGTGACAATAATATGGCATCATTTGAGATAAGCTTAAAAAAATAAATAAAATAGTGGGGGGGTGGGGGGGTGGCTTCTCAATACATGCCTTTGAGAAACAAACATAGAAGCAATGTGACTTGGTAAAAGTGTCAGTCAAATAATAAAAGAAGAAGGCATTCAAAACATTTAAAATGAGAGTCTGATTGCATCCTATAATATATAGAAGCATGCCAAAAGGCCTTTCAGAAACTAAATTAGATTGGTTAAATTGAAAATGAAAAGCTCGTAGCCAACGATAGCAAAACCAACTCCCAGATTTTTAAAAAAAATTTTATTGCGTTTAAAAAAAAAAAAAAAAAAAAAAAGTGTTGGTCCATTGGAAAGTGAAATGGGGGAGTTAATCAAGGAGTGATCAGGACAAGGCAGAAATTCTAAAGAATTTTTTTTCTTCAGTATATAAGGGAGAAAAGTCTCTGGCTGTAATTTTGCAAATGCTGGTTACCAAAGCCTTACAGCAAACTGATTGGTTACACAGGATAAAGTGCTTCCAAAATGAAATAAAAAGTGAATGTAGACAAAGCCCTAGGGCCAGATAGTATTCACCCAAGTAAGAAGTCAAACAATAAGTAAATGGTTTGACAATATGCTGTATTAGTTATTGTGCCTTAAGTGTTCCTTTAAAAGCAATTTGCGTTAAGAACCTTTGCTTGAAGATTGTGGAATACCATTAGTCATAGCTCAAGGAGTGGTTGACAAAATAATTACATATTATGTATTATTCAAATAACATTAAAATAAAAAAAGTACAAAATTATTCCTTTTACATATTTTATTTAAGCCCACAACAATAAGTCTAATTCCCTTCACAGTTAGCAAAAAAAAAAAAAAAAAATTCATAATCCCTAAAACAGAAGGAGTGTATAACCAAAGGATGGAAAAACAAACAACCCCCCCTCTCCCTACCCCCCCCAAAAAGAGAAAGAGATCCTAGTGTGTACCAGAGACTTACAACAAAATGGCTGACATAAGTGCAAGTATAACATATTTAACAAGCAAATAATGAAAATACAGAAAAAAAAAAAAGGGGGGGGGGGGGGAAGGACACTAGAAGTGTGAGGCAACAATGTTTTAGGATTGGCTAAAGCTGTATTAAACCAATTAACTTTTTTTGTAGAAAAGAGCAGAAGAAAAAGGCCTAAAATGTTTATAGATTGTTCTATAAAACATTTTCAAAAAAACTAAAAAAAAAAAATCACAATGACAATATGGCAGTCAATGTTTTTGTACACACAAGGCACCGGTGGCATACACTCAGGATTAGACAATTTTATACACAAGCCAAATTTCATGGCAAGAGACATTCAAGAAAACACCATGAAAGGCACTTGTTTATATGCATGACATACATATTATTATGCCTTTGACTTTGCAAGGAAAGCACGGTGTAGTTAATTTTTTTCTAGAAAAAGGGAAATTAGAACGACATTAAGGCAATTGTTCAGCCAACATGTAGAATAATGGCAAACAGTTTTATCTAAGCTTGGTACATATGGCCTATAGTGCATTTTGTAACCATTAAAGGAGACCAGACAACTTGTGATAATATTTTCTTTAAACATCGTTGATTGTGTGTTCATAAGTTTTGTTTTAGGCCACATTCTCAATAATAATTGCAATTCCCTGGCCTCCACCGATACAGGCTGATCCCACTGCGTATTTACCACCACGACGTCTAGATGAAAGAAAAGGGAGGAAAAAAAATTATATATAAAAATAGTTAAAATCACCAAACATGCATTTCAGACAAAAAAAATAAAAAATAAAAAAATACAAAATAAATAAAGTGTACTAAGAAGTGGGTCAATCAGCATGGACATTCCATTGGTTTTAGAATCTCAGACAGAATTGCAAGTTCTACACAGCTACGGTTTTTCCATACCAGTAATAAAAGGATTATAGAAAACTAGCAAATTAATTGAAAATATTCTGAAAAAATAAATTAGTTATTTTTCTTAATCTGTTATACACAGCTCTGAATCTTGAGTTCCGTTTATTTATAAAGCTCTATAAATTGCAAGCTTTCAGAGGAGATCCAGGCAATCCATGTAAATTTTAATTTAATTTAGTTCTGTCCTTGTAATCAGACCGATTAAAGTAGAGAAGACATGCTGTGTGTTTTTGGTCAGTTTGCACAATAATAAAAACAAAACAAAACAAAAAAAAAAAACACCCAAATAAACTAAATATGCAATCTTTGATTCTGAAATCTGATAAACCGTTGCACAGCAATGGGTGGGTTATGCCTTTCCTCCTTGTGTGATTCTAGACTTCTTTTCAAATAGTTTTTATTGAAAGTTTTGCAACTTTTACAACAAATTATAAGAACAGTATTATAAAAGGAGAGGAAAATGGGAGGCCCATCCAATGTTACAAAAAAAATAAAAAAAATAAAAATAAAATAATGTACAATGCATGTAAACTACAAATACTGTACAGTTAGAAAGCAAGTCTTACAAATTATAAACTTGTTTAATTTCAACTTCCCATAATTCCCAATGGTATTTTAGTGTAGCAAAGATGTGTGAGTTGTTTCTGTGTGACAGTTCATAGTTACATAGCTGAAAAGAGACTTGCGTCCATCAAGTTCAGCCTTCCTCACATTTGTTTTTTGCTGTTGATCCAAAAGAAGGAAAAAAAAAACAGTTTGAAGCACAATTTTGCAACAAGCTAGGAAAAAAATTCCTTCTTGACCCCAGAATGGCAGTCAGATTTATCCTTGGATCAAGCAGTTATTACCCTACATTGAAAGATTATATCCTTGAATATTCTGTTTTTGCAAGTATGCATCTAGTAGCTGTTTGAACATCTGTATGGACTCTGATAAAACCACTTCTTCAGGCAGAGAATTCCACATCCTGATTTTTTTTTTTTTTTACTGTAAGAACAAACACCTTTCCTTTGCCTTAGACGAAGTCTTCTTTCTTCCAGTCTAAAGGCATGTCCTCGTGTCCTATGTAAAGTCCGGTTTGTGAATAGATTTCCACACAATGGTTTGTATTGGCCCCAAATATATTTGTATAACGTTATCATTTCCCTCTCAGGCGACGTTTTTCTAAACTAAATAGGTTTAAATTTGTTAACCTTTCTTCATAGCGGATATGTTCCATTACTTTTATTAATTTTGTAGCCCGCCTCTGCACTTTTTCTAGTGCCATAATATCCTTCTTTAGAACAGGTGCCCAAAATTGCACAGCATATTCAATATGGGGTCTTACCAGTGATTTATAAAGAGGCAAAATTATATTCTTGTCCCGAGAATGGATGCCCTTTTTCATGCATGACAATACCTTACTGGCCTTGGCCACTGCTGATTGACATTGCACATTGTTGCATAGTTTGTTGTCTATAACAATTCCCAAGTCCTTTTCGTGTGTTGTTATCCCTAATTCGCTTCCATTAAGGGTATACGTTGCATGTGTATTCTTTACGCCGAAGTGCATAACTTTGCATTTTTCAACATTAAAAGGACCACTCTAGGCACCCAGACCACTTCAGCTTAATGAAGTGGTCTGGGTGCCAGGTCCCTCTAGGATTAACCCCCTTTTTTTTTTTTTTTTTTAAATATAAACATAGCAGTTTCAGAGAAACTGCTATATTTATACTGAGGGTTAATCCAGCCTCCAGAGCCTCTAGTGGCTGTCTCATTGACAGCCGCTAGAGGCGCTTGCGTGCTTCTCACTGTGAAAGTCACAGTGAGAGCACGCCAGCGTCCATAGGAAAGCATTGTAAATGCTTTCCTATGCGACCGGCTGAATGCGCGCGCAGCTCCTGCCGCGCATGCGCATTCAGCCGAAGACGTCGCGAGCAAGGAGGAGAGGAGGAGTACAGCTCCCCGCCCGGCGCTGGAGAAAGGTAAGTTTTTAACCCCTTCCTCTCTCCAGAGCCCGGCGAGAGGGGGTCCCTGAGGGTGGGGGCACCCCAAGGGCACTATAGTGCCAGGAAAACGAGTGTTTTCCTGGCACTATAGTGGTCCTTTAAATTTCATCTGCCATTTGAGTGCCCAGTCCCCCAGTCTATCTAAATCCATCTGCAGCAAAGTAATAGCTTGCTCACATTGTATTATTTTACAAAGTTTTGTGTCATCTGCAAACATTGAAACATGACTTTCAATGCGGTCTTCAAGATCATTTATAAACATGTTAAAGTTCGTGTGACTTCTAGTCTATGACCAGCTTTAGCACTTCTTTAATCAAAGGAGTATGGTTAGTTTTCCAGTATCTAGGTAAGCACGAAGTGGCCTATTATTTTATTCATTCTGTTGACGGACTCAGGGAATTTTTTAAATAAATCCAATTCTGATGTTAAAAAGTCAATGCTGCGGTCTACTTTGGCGATCAAGTCATATATCATTCTCCAATGTGTGGATATTTTTGGGCAATACCCCCATATGTGGGCCATGTTGCCCAATCCGCCATAGTCTCTCCAGCACTGGTGGGTGTATTTATTATTCATATTATGTAGCCTGGACGGAGCTAAGTACCAACGATATAAAATTTTTACACGATTTTCAAGATGGTCGGAACAAAAAAGAAATTCCCTTCAGCGCTGAAAAAAAAAAGCGAAACCATTCTGATAACTCATATTGGGTACCCAGCTCCGCTTCCCAGGACAGCATGTGTTTGAGTTTAACAGTAAGTTTGGCATTGTGCAATAAACAACAATGATATCGTGCCTTTCCTATTTGGGTCATATAAAAATAATTTTTCCAGTGGTGACATTTCCAATATTTTGTAATTTTTGCCGTGTCTGTTACTTTGTATAATTCCTTCAATTTATCAAGAACCATCAATTTATGCTTGAATTGTAGTTTTTCAAATGATAAAATAGCATTACCATGAAAAAACAAAAAACAAAAACAAAAAAAAAAAAAGTCTATGTTAGTCTATGTTAGTCAGATGGGGAGTTTTTAATAAATCCGAATTCAAAGAGGGCAAACAGTGTCTCATGGCAGTTGTTTTTGTGCACTATATCCCAAGCTTTAATGGTAGTTTTGGTGGTAAGGAATAATTTAGTAACTCCATGCCTTCTTCCAGGACTTAACCAGGGCAATTCATTGAGTTGGAATGGGAGAATTTTAGATTTTCTTACAGATTGTCAGTCACATGAGTACCCACCTGAGTTCATGGACAAGATGAGCAGTGATTCGGGAACCTGATGCAGCCAGTGGGTGGCCCAAGGCAATGGCACCGCCATTTACATTGGTTTTCTCTGGGTCAAGACCAAGTGCTCGCTCTACTGCCAAATACTGTGCTGCAAAAGCCTCATTGACCTGTTAAGAAATAAAAAGGTTAAAAAAATTAAAATAAATAAAAATAAATTCAGCACAGCATTGATATCAATTTAAAAGGGCAGTATTACCTGAATACAGATATTTTTCATATGATTTAGCAAAATGAGACAAGGTAAAATATGTATGTTAGCATTACAGTTCTAATGCTACAAACAGCCCTATATTTTAGAGAAGCAGTAGGGTGAGATCTGAGACACGTCTAGGGGGAATTATTTTGTTTTAATGCAAAGGAACACTAGTGACGCTACAGTGTGGGGCTGCTTAGTGCACTGGCCCTGCCAGTAAGTGTGCCTGGGTAAGACACCTAAAAATATATACTGCCCACCTCAAGAATATGAGAGCAACACAAACCAAGATAGTGATACCGGCTTGGACTTCGTCTGTATTAACGAGTGGATGAACTATGGATGAGTAAGAGACAATCACCTACCCCAACACCAAAACAGCTGGCTACACAACGTTTGAACTTCGTCAAGAAGAAGCTAGTGTCACAACTGGAATTAGACAGACTACAGGAAGAAATGTACATACCCACATCCCTACCTGCAGAGGCTTGTCAACCTGAATTCCCACCCAAAGAGGGCATCACAGCAGATATAAATAGAATCCTAGAAAAGCTAGCAGTTCCTGACCAGCTGACAAGACCAACGATAACTGGAAAACTACCAACAGACAGCATGCTAGCTGCAGTAATCAAGCATTGTCCACAATCCCAACTGGCTCATACAGCTACTAGACTACAAGATCGGGCTCAAAAGAGAAGCAATGCCCACCATGGAGACTACAAGCCAAGATAAAGACCACATAGACAGAAGTTAGTTAGCTGGATTAACTTCACAGAGGTGAAAACATCAAGGATAGATCCTGGTTACTGAGGAAGTACAAAAGGCACTGGAAACCACTAAGCAAAGACGGACAGCATTGGCAACTAAACTGAGCAGATACACCAGAGAAGCAGAGGCTAAGAGAATCAATACCCTGTTTACCAAAGAACCATCCAAGGTGTATGCACAGCTGCAGGGTAACCACAAGATATCTATCCAAGACCAACCTGTAGCAGAGACTGAAGAATACTGGAAGAACATCTGTGAGAAAGAAGTATCACATAACACCAAGGCCCAGTGGCTACTAGACCTGAAGACAGACCACCACATGCTGCCGGGAACAGGAACCAGTCACCTGCCTCCCAACAACATGGAAGGTCCTGTCAGGTCTCATAGCCTCCAAGATTGAAGGACATATGAGTCACTACATGAGCAATACTCAAAAGGGAATTGGAAACACCAACTACTGATAGAATCCTGTGCAACTGCTTGGTCCAGACAGACCAATCTGTGCAAAGCCTGGCTTGACTACAAGAAAGCCCATCTAGATTTAAAAAAAAAAAAAAAATAACCACAAGGACAGGACAGGACAGTCTTAAATTAGAGGGGTAAATGTTTAAAAATAATTTCTGGAAGTATTACTTTACTGAGAGGGTAGTTGATGCACGGCATAGCATTCCAGCTAAAGTGGTAGAGGTTAACACAGTGAAGGAGTTTAAGCATGGATGGGAGAGGCATAAGTCTATCCTAGCTATAAGATAACGCCAGGGACTACTAACATTTAGAAAATTGGGCAGACTATATGGGCCAAACAGTTCTTATTTGCCTTCACATTCGGTTTCTATGTAACTACTTAACAAGACATTCTGCCTGAAATCTTCCAATAAGTAATAAAAATACATGTCACCTTGCATAACGAGGAGCACTAGATGCCTTTTACGACTTACCTCCACGAGATCCATGTCCTTCAAAGACAGACCTGCATTTTTCAGAGCGCCAGTAATAGCTGGGACCGGACCTAGAAAAGCAAAAACATTGTTTGAAATTAATGACCATTAGGTATATTACAAATCTTGAGTGTAGATGATGGCAAAAATTGGATTACCGTGGATTTTCAAGTGACAGAATACAAGCAGAAAAATGGATCACATTAAAGGTCTACTATTCAAAATAAAGAGCTCACAAACATACATACTTTTTGTATGAAGTGCATTCAGGTAGCTTGCTCTACGGTAAGGATGTCATATCATTGAGTCAGTTAGACCGAAGAATTACCATCTAAATTGAATAGTATATAGAGTATAAAACTGCCAACAACCCTGAGATTCCTATCTATCTCTATCTTGTGCCTTTGAGGGCACCTAGGTAAAGAGTCTCCATTTATGTGAAGGGTGTTAGACTCCAGTCTGCTCAGTTAAAAAAAGCTGTGCCTTCAAAGGCACCTAGACTTGAAATACAAGCCAAAGCCAACAGTCTCTGAAAATAATTTGTGCCGAACTCCAGACAAAGTGCCTGGACTAATGTCTGCCGATAGGAGGTAAAGTCCTTCCTCCTACAGGTTTCTGCTAAGATTGAAGTCTCAGGACGGGAAGCAGCAAGAGACCGGGATACAGGGAAGCCCCAACGTGCTTTTTGCCGGCTCTTTAAGGGGGCATTATTGAAGGTCATTTATTTAAATATTAAAAGTGCTCACATAGTAAGAAAATCATTAAAATTCTGAAAACATGCCTTATCCTTGTATGGCACAGGTTTAAAAAAGGTTTGTTCTGAATTTAGAATGGCAGAGTGCACCCCCTGCAGTGTGAAAGTTGCATTGCATTTTTATTTGAGAAAAGCAGGATTTTAGAAGGGAATTCAACATTTTACGTCAAAAGAGCAGAAGCGAAAACAGTGTCCCATGCCGCTATTTTGGCGTAAAATACAAGTGATACTCGAAAAGTTATAATATCGAGCAAAAGTTCATTTATTTCAGTAATGCAACGTAAAAGGGGAAACTAATATGAGAGACTCATTACATGCGTCTATCTCATATATTAGTTTCACCTTTTACGTTGCATTACTGAAATAAATGAATTTTTGCACGATATTCTAATTTTTCGAGTATCACCTGTAGAATGGATTAAAATATAGAGTTCCTCTATAGCAGGTAAACAGAAATGAGCATACCCTGCCCATATGGGAATCACTGGCATAGCAGTGTCCACAAATAGCGCATTCTAGGATAGAAAGAAAGGCAGAATACGTTGAGAAAGAAAAACACATTTCTTACCGAAACCCATAATCTTAGGGTCACAGCCAGACGCATGATAGGCCACAATTCGAGCCAGTGGCGTGAGTTTGTGTTTTGTTACGGCATCTTCACTGGCAACAATCAAAGCACCAGCTCCATCGCATATTCCCTGTGTGCCAATAAAGACAACACATTTATGAAAATTAAACCAGGTAAGTGAGGCCTCGAATAAAATAAAGCGGGGGCCAATGCGAGACTCCGTATGAGAAACAAGAGACAATGACAAAAACCACTACTAGCATTTTATCTGACAGACTGTGAGAGCCTCTTTATCGGGATCAATGCCAACGTATTGATAGAATTATGGATTATTTCCCCTCTGATGTTTCTACATCTGGTCCCCTTTGTTTCAAACCCAGACCAAGAGCCTTTACAGACATTCTAAGAACAGTTGAAACAAGGTATCTAAAGCATAACCTGGGGCAAAATGGAGCAATCACAACAGAACCTAGGACTGCACAAATTTCATTACTCTTCACACCAGAATTTCCCTTTAGGCAACTCTAGAACTTATATACCAGAATGTCGTACACTTTATGGGGTTTACAGTAATAAACAAGAATTAAAAATAAATTATTTTTTTTTAAATAATATATATTTCACTTTCTCACCGAGGCATTTCCAGCAGTGACCATGCCGTCCTTCTTGAACACAGGTGGGAGTTTAGCCATCTGCTCTAAGGTGGTCTGTGGCCTAGGGTGCTCATCTTTGTCCATTTTGATGGGTCCTTTCTTTGACTTTAGCTCAATGGGAGCCATTTCCTCAGCAAAGTATCCAGCATCCTGGGCTGTGGAGCAGGGTTTTAAACAATAAGTCCATTGTATAATAATGAAAAAAATAATAAATAAATAAAATTTAAAAAAAAGGCTTTGGTCACATAACAAATCCTAGATTACATGGGAGCACACAAAGAGTATACAGAAGGAAACTGTGTGAAGACATCTTTAAGAGAATTAAAAAAAAAAAAAAAAAAAATATAAATACACATCATCACAATAAATATTTGTGATTGTTTAATAATAAAAACACAACTATAACCGTAACAGGTCTAAAAGTAACAACATTTTTACTTTTTCTGGAGAAGATTCTCTACGCACCTGCTTTCCATCTTTGCTGAGTCTGGAAGGAATAATTGTCACAGTCTTGCCTTGTTACTTTGTATTTTTCACCCAAAGTCTCAGCTGTAATGGCCATGGGGGTCTTAATATGAGAGTCCGTAAGCCCAGCCCACAATGTGTCCTCCATCTAAATGACAGGACTAGTTTAATAATTAAGTGTATACACTTTCCTACTTCTTCTTCACATGTATGGTGTATATGGGAGCCAGGCTAAGATCCAATGCAACACTCATCTAAACATTACATTAAACGCATTACAAAGAGCTGATATTTAAAGACACACAGCGTATGAAATTTGCGTGTTGGACTTTACATGTAACTAAATAATGTAAATGTTACAAGATCGAAAAAAAAATAAAAAAATTTCACAAGACAAAAAACGAAAATATATAACAGAATTTGGGCTTGACACTAACCAGTGTTATTTAAAACTACTCAATTTCAGTAAGGTACCTTGGAACACTGTTAATCAAACTCAGAACACAAAAACAGAAGAAAAAGTTATACCTTGATATCAGCGCCAAGTTTGGTTCCAAAACGGATATTTCGGACTGCATATGGAGACTGACTCATGCTCTCAGTACCACCACACATAACAATCTCAGACTCTCGAAGGGCAATTTCCTGCAAAAACAGCAATTTGTCAGTTTTTCAAGTTGCAAGACGTCTTTGTTCTTCCATTTAAAAAGTTACCATCAATTCATTTACTTGACCATTACCCTACCCAGCTGCTCATCCTACAGAAGGCAGTGCAAGTGCATCTAACCTGATAGAATAGGACTCTGGTGCCCAGGGGTCCCCCCTAATCTCTTCTACTAAGCTGGGACAAGAGCAGTCTATAATGGGTCTACTGTGTCCTGCCTGGAGCCTTGAAGGGTCTTTTACAGCCACCTACGGTAAATTTCTGGATGCATCATAAGACCCCCACGGAACATCACATAGGCCATCGATTCCGTCCTGTCACATTAGTTTCCAGTTAGTTTGAACTCTGGTTCCTACTAAAAGAAAGCTCTCTGGCAACCTGCTACTGGGCTACAGAGCCCCTATATGTTTGTCTGAGGACATTTTTCTAGAGCTGGGAGTCAGTTGATTCATGGTGTATACAGGGCGTCATCCAAGATAAGTTCTCATATGTGGATTTGTCTAATTTAATTTCACCTTACATTCAATTTTTTGAAAGGGATTTTATTTTTTAATTTTAGTTAAAGGAGAATCTCCTGAAGAGAGCAATTGCTTTTTAAGGTAATCCTTTGATGACATCTTGTGGCAAAGCTCTATATTACACTTTTAATTTAGCCTCAAAATGGCCTATTTGTTTCACTCTTTAATATTAAGAGTGTAGAAGTCACCATAGAACCCAATGGAATGTTTCTGCTAATTGTTCCCCTTTTACAATTTGGACTCCAAAACACTAGTTTTCATACAGAATGCTACATTTATCAGTTGTTTACAGTATCAAATTGAAAACTACACAAAAAAAAAAAAAACCCAACCCCCCCCCACAAACATACTTTACCTGACAGCCATTGACAATGGATTGGAAGCCAGACCCACAAAGTCTGTTCACAAGGAGCGCTGGGACAGAGATTGGGATTCCTGTCCGAAGACCAACGTGTCTGGCCAGGTAAATTGCATCTGTAGAAGTCTGCAACATGAAACATATGGAGATCAGTGATTGGTGTTCATCTCAAACCATGTTTACATTTTTTTTTTTAATTAGAGATATTTTAATATAATAAAAATATATAGGTTTCCTGACCATATGCATGGCAGCACAACAATGGGTAGCTCCTCCCTATCCTTAACCAGACAGGAACCTAATTAAAACAGAAGGTTTAAGTGACCCCTCCCACCCTCAGTCTTTTTGTTCCGGTCCTATCCCTAGAACAGACCGTCATTTCAGGACAAAAAAAAAAAAACCCACACAAAACTTTTATGGCTTACCTGAGGAAAGTTTGTTCCTCTGGCCCCTTGGGAGTTCAGCCTCTCTCCCTTGGCAAGTTTCCAATACACGGCCCTCCAAAAATGTGACCCCTTGGAGAAACCCCTTTAGTGACTGGGGGTTCTAACTTGCTGTGACCCGAGGGGTAGCAAGATCATGCCATCACCATAATACCTGCAGTGACCCAAAGGTAGCAGGCTGGACACGCACATACAGAGCATATGGATTGCAAGGATTAATATGACATTGACTAACATTACATCGCTGAAAGGATTAATATACTACTCTGCTATCTTGTACTTTCACATGGATTTACTTATTGTGAACCTAAGGGTAGCAAGATTATACCATCAGCCTGCACATTCAGAGCATATATATGGATATAACCCCTTCATCAATGTCATCTGAACAGTAAGAGTTTCCTGCTAATTTTAAGCAAATAAAAGGTCTGCTGAAATCTTTATTCCTAGGCTTCTATATAGACCACTTATGCCTTTTAATAGAATATGCCTTTTAATTCACTTATTACTAGGCGTCTGTGTCTTTTAATATAGCCACTATGCATCTGTTATACCTCCCAATATAGCAGCTGGATTTTCTTATTCCTTAGCACTCTGATTTTTTTGCGAAGGGGGTTGATATCTGTAGGTTTTATTTATTGCTCCTGTGGACTTCTCACCCCTTTTAACCATGAGAGTGTCTGTCTGTGTCTCTCTCTCTCCACATCTGCTTAATATTAAGTTAGCTCTAATCGGTGACATTTGCATTGGGCAGAAGGATTTCAGATCTTCAAGCACTATTTGGCATAAAACCCCTTTTACGGTCTTTCACAATATAGAATAATACTCAATCGGTTCCTGAATTTAGTCATTATGTGGCTTATTCTCTCCATATTAATGAAGAAATTATTCTTCTAGCTCTAAAAGCCTATTGATTGGAATGAAGACTCCATAATGAAACCTTCTCGGGGGGGAAAAGAAGGGGGGGGGTGGGAAATAGACTACCTGGCTTTCTTCTGATAATCTGTTTATCTTTACTAATGCACCAGAAGAGGTCTTCATGCCTCTATATAAACAATTAGTAGAGAGGGATAGTCTTGGCTATTTTCAGGTTACTAAGCCCAAGGGGTTACAGTACCTGAAGGCCTGTTCGCTCTCCACCAGAGCATCGGTGGCCAAGTTTCCCTGGAACTTATAGGTTAAGTGCCTGGTTGGTCCTCAACCAATATTTTTTTTTTTTTTTATTTTTTTTTTTAAACACAGACATTTTCTTTGGTACATTTGAGTAGGTCAATCTGGTAATGTGGCAATAAGTTTTTAATTTCCACTGTCCCTATGAGGTGTGTGTTTTCACTTTGCATTCATAATTTGGAAGTCGTGTATTTCTTTCCCTCCCTTGGTTATTGCTTGAGTATTACCCATTGTTGTGCTGCCGTGGATATGGCCAGGGAAATTTTATTCCTACTTATCGTAAATTTTCTTACACTGGAGTCGCGTAGCGCCGCACGCACATGAGGTCTTATTAGTGTAGGGAGAGGATGCTGCCGCTGTGAGGGATAGCTTAGGAAAGAATTCTGCAAACTAGTACATTAGTGGGGTGCACTTCATATCTGAGAGTCAAATAGAAGCGTCAAATACTGTGGTTACAGCGCAACTGTAAAAATCTAATTGTTTTGGTGCTAAACAGTAAATTTTGGGCGTGCTCTTCATATCTGAGAGTCAAATATAAGCGTCAATTACTGTGGTTACATCACACTTTCAAAAATTCTAATTTACTTGGTGCTAAATAGTACATATGCGGCGCGTGGTGCGTTTTTGCAGTCCAATAAACTTAAAACAAAAACCACATTGTTGACTTTTGGTGGTTACATTGGCGTCTGACATAAAACATCTGTTAGTTTGGTGGGTGAATGCAAAGAATGAGGAGTGCGTCAAATAAGGGACATGGACCTGGTCGTGGTGCTGCTGGTGGAGTTCCTGTTGCAAGGAGAGGACATTGTCGATCTGTGCCAGCTACACGCTCAAGTGAAACCCCTTCCTCATGTGCGACTAGGCGACAGAACCTTCAGCGTTATTTGGTAGGCCCGAATGCCGCTCTCCAAATGGGGAGGCCAGAACAAGTACAGGAGATAGAGTGGATGGCTGACAGTGCCTCCAGTTCCTTCACATTGTCTCCCACCCGGTCCCCTGCTGAAAGCTCAGAGTTGGCACCTGCAGCCCATGGCCATCTGTCTTTCACCTCACCCCCTTGCAAATCAGCCAAGCAGTCTGAGCCACAAGTCATGCAGCAGTCTCTTTTGCTTCTTAATGACTCTGCTGGCGGGGTTTCCATGGGCCATCCACCTAGCCCTGTAATTTAATTTTTATGTTATTTTAAGTGATTTCCCTATCCACATGTTTGCAGGGCACTTGTCCTACTTTTACCCCATTTTACCTCCTTTTGCAGCCCTCTAGCCCTTTCCAGGACTTTAGAGGCATTTTTGTGCCCAAAAGTTCGGGTTTAAGTTCGATCCCAAACCCAGACTTTTTTTTTTCCCAAAGTTCGGCCAAACCCGAACATCCAGGTGTCCGCTCAGAAAATGGAGGCACCGATATCCACAAGCCCTTGGATCTTAGAGTGTTTTATCCTGGTCACCACCGGGGTAAAAAACTAAACAAAAAAAGTGACAAAAATATACATGCAGGGCAGTCATCTACTAACTGTAGACAAACCAAATGAAATAAGGAGTTGTAACGGAATGTTTAATGCAATCATGAGTTATGATGTAGTAAGTGAAGTATAGTGACAATATCTATAGATTAGTTGTGCAGAATAATTACTTCTATTTAGATTTAATGATCCAATCCCAGTCATTTCTATTAGTCCCTAATCGTAGTCACATTTCTTTGTTTGCTTTATTCCCAGAAGCCAAGTTTCCTTTCAGAAAGAGGAGATAAAAACAGCACACTTTACTATTTTCATCAGATGAAATTTGAGAGTAAATAAAGTTTCATTTCACTATGGTTTGCACATAAGCAAATAAACACATATACGCTGGGCGCCAAGTTTAGGTTTTACATTTTTTCACCCTACAAGAAATACCAAAAATTAAAGAACTGAATCCGCAATATTTTTCCCACCGAGCATAAAGAAAAAACCTGCAAAATAGAGCAGAAGATAGCAATATTTTGTCAACACAGCACATCTTCTACAAAGGTAGTCAATATTGATCTGTTTTCCACGCACCTTTTAGTAAATATGTACACATTCAGTAGGTTCATGCATCATTTTACATAAACAAACACATAGGTTTCCACACTTCAATGTAAAAGTCAATAAAATCAGAACATACCTGTGCAACATTCCCAAACACAATGCTATCAATGATGTCCGGAGACACGTTGCCAGCTGCAAGGGCAGCTTTTGCAGCAATTTCACCTAAATCTGTCGCTGTATGGTCTTTCAGCAGCCCACCGTAGGTGCCAAATGGTGTTCTTTTGGCGGAAACAACAAAAATTCCTAAAGAACAATAATAAAGTAAAGCAAATTTAAAATTGTTACACTGAAAATTTCTTGTCGAGTTCCTGTTCAGATCCAAAAATGCATAGTCACAACTACTGTTGCTTTGATGTTCTCTATGCACTACATTACACTACAATGCAAGTTTCCAGTAGCACCTCCATCTTGACTCATTGGCTTCAAAGGTTTGTTCTACTCCTTCTTTGCATTCCTGTTCAGATGCACTTACAAAAAACACATTCACGTGCTCGGTCAGAACTCCCAAATTCTGTTTTACTCAGAATCTCTCACTCCAGGCAGAATATCTCCCAGGTATTGTGAGCCTGATGGCAAACAATTTCCATACATCTGCATAGTTTCCTGATTACAGGGACTGTTTCATCTGGATCTGTTTGTGTTCAGAACCAACCGTCGGACCATACATTTCTTCAGTTGACTTCCAGACGAGAATGCCTTTCTACAGGACTGGCCTCCGCTAGTGCCTAGACTGAACTAAAGGGTGTGAAAAAAAAAAAAAAACACATACACAAAACATTAGGAGGAGTGAGACTAGAGAAGTTCAGCAGGAAGCAGATTGGAATGCTGCTGCTGAGCCTGATGACACTCCTACGTGCGGAGCAGAAAAGGACAGCCCAGGCGTAAGGAAGAGCATCCTGGACAGCCTCGTGTGGGAGCCTGAGGTCTGCAGCTCTTTCAGGTGCAAACCACAATAATCCCTCAAACTGCAGTAAGATTACTGTGTTTTGCAACCAATAGAGGTTCAAACCACAGGCTACCTGGCCCAGCCCTGTGGCTTTACTGCAGTAGGGCTAGAGGGAGTGGGCAGAGACTACTTGTCCTGGGCGATAGGGATTCCTGATCCCTGTTCACTGGATTGATGTCACTTGCTAAATCTATCATTTATTTCCATATAAAATGGAGCATCACATGAAAAGGTTAACACAAGTTATAGGAGACTTTCAAAGTTTCATTCAATGGTGTTATTTTCCAGAACCGTTATTAATTCCGCTTAAAGCACAAACTTTTTAATAAAAAATTATTCTTCTCTTTAATTTTGTTTTAAAGACTTATCTGCTCCAATGCAAGTTCACAGAATTCTGTCATCATCTCACCTTGAATCAAAAAGGTTAGAACATGCGATGTAGGCCTGAAAGTTGAACCTTTTTAACTTAACTGAGCTGGTGCAGCATTCAACAAATGCAAGCTGTAATCTAGCATTCCGGGTCCAAAGGTTAACCAAGTACTTCATAATGGCTTTGCCCTTTCTCGATAACGTATTGAAATATACAATGTGACCTTAGATCTTCCAGTGTAACAGGTGACTAGCCTTGTATGACAAGTATGCTCACTGGAACAACGCTGTAGAATAATTCCTATGTTTGTGACGTATCCAAGCAGAAGAACTAACACAGAGTCAGGTGACAGGTTCATCCTACCTACAAAGACTCTTCTGCAGACAAGAGCAGTAGACCTTGTTACCTTTACATCATATAGTTAAAAAGGTGCTGTCCAGCCAGAGATATTATGAAGACTGTGTCCACCACGACCCTCCAGTCTTGCACTAGAATAATAAATACATTCTAACACATTGAGCTTGTCTTTAAACTCTTTCCTCACGTTTTAAAATACACAAACTTTTGCCATGGAAAAAGCTTTCTACTGATTTTATTATCAATATAATTATTCTTAGATCACATGACTAGGTAAAAATTGTGAATTATCCTAGCATTAGTGAAGAGATCATTCTAATTTTAAAGGACAGGAGGCGAATATTTTGCCAAGATGTTCTTTACTGCAACTCCATAGCAGCAATGACACATAAAGGAAATAAATAAGTCCAAAATAAGGGGGAGGGCAAATTTTCTTTACAAAATTTCAAGTTCGACTTATATGCAAACATTTGATTTCTTTTTCTCTGGATGGCATTACGTTTAACATTTCTCGATGTACTGAGACATGGAGAGACAAAGTAAAACAGTTTGGCAATGAGTTGTCAGGGATAAGAAAACATTCTCAGGCCAAATCACACACAAAAATAAATAAAAATATCCAGAAGTGTTAAATACTTTGTATCCATCAGTTAAGAGAAATGAATACTGCATAAGAAAAAAAAAAAAAAAAAACACACACACACACACACGAGGATCTTTGCGGACAGGCACACCTTATACTTGGGAGAAACTAGCCGAGATGTTCGAACCAACCAAATTAATACGACCTACCGTTGGAAAAAGGCCATGAGAGCTGTAAAGGAATCACTAAGACAGCATTTTATCGTACCCAGAGCACAGTTGCCCCAGAGGAAAGACCTAGCTGTGCACAAAAGCCACTGCACAGATGAGAGTACCCAAGTAGATACATGAAGAGAAGGGCAAAAGACAGCAACAAAAGAGGGTTCATGTATGACATCTCCAGGAAGACCCTGCTAAAAAGGGGTTATAAGCGTGATGGATATCTAGTGCAATTGCAGATGGTAACTTGCAGATGTAACCCCCTAGCGGAGATTAGTCCTGTAGAAAGGCATTCACCTCTAGACAATCTGGGTCTGCAAGCCAACTGAAGAAATGTAGGGTCCAACAGTTGGTTCTGGACGCAAACAGATCCAGATGAAACAGTCCCTGTAGTCAGGAAACTGTCCATTCTACAGTTGCTGGCATCCCTCTAATGTCTGGAGAACTTGTTTGCTGTCAGGTTCCTAGTACCTGGGAGATATGTTGCCTGGAGATTCAAAGTAAAACAGAATTTGGGACTTCTGACAGAGCACGTGAATGTGTTTTTGTAAGTGCATCTTGTTTATTAAAATGTTCATTATTACAAATAATATTGTACTATTTTGCAGTGTTCTACAGAATACTGAAGACCAGTCAAAAGGATTGACAGAAAGCTTTTGGCAGTTTGGAAGGCAAGCCAGATTACTACCTAGAGTCATGGCGAGAAAAAAAGTACACCCTCTTTGAATTCTATGGTTTTATACATCAGGAAATAACAACAATTACCCGTTCCTTAGCAGGTCTTAAAATTAGGTAAATACAACCTCGGGTGAGCAACACATGGCATATTACAGAGTGTCATGATTTATTCAATAAAAATAAAGTCAAAATCAATCTACACTTAATCTCAATACCCCATATTAAAGCAAAAAAAAAAAAAAAGAAAAAAAAAGTTTTTTTGAAATCATTTCAAATCTAATAAAAAAAAAAAAAACCACACAAAATAAACTGAACTATCACATTAATATAAGTATTGAAACACTTTTCCATCACTTGATATTTAGTTCAGATCCATTCCATTTCTCTGTATCATCTTGGAGACATTTCTTTCTACACACTACTACTGAAGTCCACCTGTAGCAAATGTAGTTGATTGGACAGGATTTGGAAAGGCACACAACGGTCTATGAGAGGTTGCAAAGCAGCAAATGCATATTAGAGCAAAAACTAAGCCATAAAGTCAACAGAACTGCTGGCAGAGCTCAGAGACAGGAATGTGTCTAGGCACAGTTATGGGGAAGGCTAGAAAGCCTACAATGAAAGTTCCCAAGAGTACTGTGGCCTCCATAACCAGGACTCTTCCTAGACCTGGCTGCCTGGCCAAACTGAGCAAAAATCAGGGGGACAAGGCCTTGAGGGGGAAACCAAAAACCCAATGGTAACTCTGGGTAAGCTCCAGAGATCAAGTGTGGAGACGGGAGAAACTTAAAAGGGACTTTCTAGTGCCAGGAAAACAAACCATTTTTCTGGCACTGCAGGTCCCCTCTCCCTACCACCCCATGTTGCTGGGTGGGTTAAAAGCCCTTCAGTGACTTACCTGTATCCAGCGCTGATGTCCCTCGGCGCAGGGTCAGGCTCCACCAAGTCTCCTCACCTGCCAGCTGGCGGGGGAGACCTAATGCGCATGCGTGGTAATTGCCGCGGGCAACGGCCGCACGCACGCATTTGGCTTTATTTCTCATGGTAGCTCTGTTTGGAATGGAAATAAACTGTACAAAAAAAAAAAAGATGGTTTGCATCTTTCTCAAAAGGGAACAAATGTTCTCAGTGAGCAGTTCAGAGGTTTTGCTAGGATGTATTAAAACTAGGGGGGGAGGGGGGGCAAAAGGGTGATAAAACATCAATCCAATTGTCCCCCAAAACAAGGACAGAAGGTACATGTAGCAAGTGTGTTAAAAAAAATGATAAGCTTAGAGTCATGTCTACAAATGCTCGCAGTTTAGGGAATAAGATCCATGAACTTGTGGCAATAATGGCAACTGATAGTGTAGATTTAGTCGCTGTTACTGAGACATGGTATAATGAGAAAAATGACTGGGACATAGCAATACCAGGGTACTCTTTATATAGAAAAGAAAAAAAAAAAAAAGACAGGGAAGGCAAGAAATGGGGAGGGGTGGCCCTGTATGTGAAGGATAGCATATAATCTAGCATAATAAAAGTTAGTAAGGCAACATAGAGTCCGTTTTAGACTTTAGAAAAACAGACTTTTCTAAAATTAGAATATGTGTAACGGAGTCATTATCAGACTGGAGCAATTTAAATGGAGTCCAAGAAAAATGGGATTATTTAAAAGTTGCACTATTGAAGGCAACAGAAAATTGCATTAGGCTTGTCAGTAAAAGCAAAATAATTCAAGAAACCACTGTGGCCAAAATAGTAAAAAATAAATAAAAATAAAAAAATAAATAAAATAAACACAGAATGAGCTTTAAGATAAGGCAGGAAGAGGCTAAGCAAGTTATAAGAGCTTCCAAATCACATACAGAAGAGAAAATAGCACAGTCAGTAAAAAAAAAAAAAAGGGAACAAAACTTTTTTTAGATACATGAATGAGAAAAGAAAAGTAAAACAAGGATTAGTTAGATTAAAAACAAAAGAAGGAAGATATGTAGAATAGGATAAAGGTCTAGCTGACCGCCTCAGTGAATATTTTTGTTCGGTATTTACAGATGAAAATGAATGAAAGGGACCTCAGTTAAGAAAAAGGATAAATGAGTCATTTATTAAACGCGAGTTTACAGAGGAAGAGGTTCTATTTCAACTGTCAAAAGTAAAGACAAATAAGTCAATGGGACCTGATGGAATACACCCAGAGGTTTTAAAAGAGCTTAGGGGTGTACTAGCAAAACCATTAACAGATTTATTTCACCAATCATTAACAGGAGTAGTCCCAGAAGATTGGAAGTTAGCGAATGTTGTGCCCATTCACAAGAAAGGTAATAGGGAGGAGTCGGGCAACTATAGGCCAGTAAGACTTACTTCAGTAGTGGGGAAAGTGATGGAAACCATGTTAAAGGATAGGATTGATGAACATCTAAAAACACATGGATTTCAATTTCAGAGACATGGGTTTACTGCAGGGAGATTATGCCAAACTAATCTTATTTATTTTTTTGATTGGGTAACTAAAATTATAGATCAGGGTGGTGCAGTAGACATTGCTGACCTAGATTTCAGTAAGGCTTTTGACACTGTTCCACATAGAAGGCTTATCAATAAACTGCAATCTTTAAGTTTGGATTCCAATATTGTTGAATGGGTAAGGCAGTGGCTGAGTGACAGGCAACAGAGGGTTGTAGTTAATGGAGTATATTCGAAGCTTGGGCTTGTCACCAGTGGGGTACCTAAGGGATACTTGGACCCATTCTCTTTAATGTTTTTATTAGTGATATTGCAGAAGGTCTTGATGGTAAGGTATGTCTTTTTGCTGATGATACTAAGATTTGCAACAAGGTTGATGTTCCAAATGGCAAATGATTTAGGTAAACTAGAAAAATGCTCAGAGTTGTGTCAACTGACATTTAATGTGGATAAGTGCAAGATAATGCATCTTGGACGTAAAAACCCAAGGGCAGAGTACAGAATATTTGATAGAGTCCTAACCTCAACATTTGAGGAAAGGGATTTAGGGGTGATTATTTCTGATGACTTAAAGGGACACTATAGTCACCTGAACAACTTTAGCTTAATGAAGCAGTTTTGGTATATAGAACATGCCCCTGCAGCCTCATTGCTCAATCCTCTGCCATTTAGGAGTTAAATCCCTTTGTTTATGAACCCTAATCACACCTCCCTGCATGTGACTTGCACAGCCTTCCATAAACACTTCCTGTAAAGAGAGCCCTATTTAGGCTTTTATTACAAGTTCTGTTTAATTAAGCTTTTCTTATCCCCTGCTATGTTAATAGCTTGCTAGACCCTGCAAGAGCCTCCTGTATGTGATTAAAATTCAATTTAGATTGAGATACAATTATTTAAGGTAAATTACATCTGTTTGAAAGTGAAACCAGTTTTTTTTTTTTCATGCAGGCTCTGTCAATCATAGCCAGGGGAGGTGTGGCTAGGGCTGCATAAACAGAAACAAAGTGATTTAACTCCTAAATGACAGTGAATTGAGCAGTGAAATTGCAGGAGAATGATCTATACACAAAAACTGCTTTATTTAGCTAAAGTAATTTAGGTGACTATAGTGTTCCTTTAAAAGGTAGGCAGACACTGTAATAGAGCAGCAGGAAATGCCAGCAGAATGCTTGGTTGTATAGGGAGAGGTATTAGCAGTAGAAAGAGGGAAGTGCTCATGCCATTGTACAGAACACTGATGAGACCTCACTTGGAGTATTGTACGCAGTACTGGAGACCGTATCTTCAGAAGGATATTGATACCTTAGAGAGGGTTCAGAGAAGGGCTACTAAACTGGTTCATGGATTGCGGGATAAAACTTACCAGGAAAGGTTAAAGGATCTTAACATGTATAGCTTGGAGGAAAGACGAGACAGGGGGGATATGATAGAAACATTTAAATATATAAAGGGAATCAACACAGTAAAGGAGGAGACTATATTTAAAAGAAGAAAAACTACCACAACAAGAGGACATAGTCTTAAATTAGAGGGACAAAGGTTTAAAAATAATATCAGGAAGTATTACTTTACTGAGAGGGTAGTGGATGCATGGAATAGCCTTCCAGCTGAAGTGGTAGAGGTTAATACAGTAAAGTAGTTTAAGCATGCATGGGATACTATAAGATAAGGCCAGGGGCTAATGAAAGTATTTAGAAAATTGGGCAGACTAGATGGGTCAAATGGTTCTTATCTGTGGTCACATTCTATGTTTATATTACACCACCCCATAGGAAAGCATTATTCAATGCTTTCCTATAGGGATTCCGGCGATGCTGGAGGTACTCATGCATTGCGTGAGGACGTCCAGCATCTCTTAAAACACAAAGTGTTTTAAGAACCCGGAAGCTCCTCTAGTGGCTGTCTCATAGACAGCCACTAGAGGAGGACTTAACCCGGTTAGGCAATTAGTGCAGTTTATGAAATTCTGCACTAATTACACTTGCAGGGTTAAAGGTAGTGGGAGTTGGCACCCAGACCACTCCAATGGGCAGGAGTGGTCTGGGTGCCTGGAGTGTCCCTTTAAGGAAGGATAACCATCACTTCAACACTCCACCAATCTGGCCTTTATGGCAGATGGAAGCCTCTACTCAATGCAAGACACATAAAAACCAACTTGGAAACTGCAATAAATAAATAAATAAATAAATAAATAAATAAAAACAAACACCCACCACTTAAAGGAATCTCAGACTGTGACAAACAAGATTCTCTGATCTAATGAAATTAACATTGAACTGTTTGGACTAACTTCAAAGCTTCATGTCTGGAGAAATCCAGATACCGCTCATCACCTGCACAATACCATCCAGATGGTGAAGCATGGTGGTGGCAGTATACAGACAGTAATTTGCAGTCCCAGTGGGTAATGCAATGTATATGGGCGAGAGCAAAAAAAATTAAAAAATTAATAAAAAAAATAAATAAAATAAAATTAAAAAAAAAGAGAGAGACTTTTGGAGTATTTTTTGGCAATTTTTTTCCGACCATCGCCCCTCTGTCTTGGCTAAATACATTGCTGCCTTCCTCCTTTCCTGTCTCTTGCTTCTAATGTTATGTTCATCCACCAGAACACTTTTTAGTGAACCTTCCCTGTATTTATCCGGTTTTATTTTGGATTTATCAGCCATCAACCTACCATAGATAACCACAAGCAACACAGAACTTCGGGATACGGCTGGACAGTTAATCTAAAAGGAACACAAAAAATATACACAAAATAGTGAAGTACAATTAACACATGGTTTTCCGCTGAATACAAATGCACTCACAGAATGAAGTAGAATATATCGCTCATAGGGTGCCTCCCCTAGTGGAATGGGGGGTTGGTAATCCCTTGGCTCCTTCTTAGGCTTCCTTAATGATGCTCAGGACTCCAAACAGGTAATGGTAGAAAAAAGATGTATTTTATTGATAAAAGGTGAGTATTCACCATCAGTATAAAGTATAATAAAAAACGGTATGGTCCTACGCGTTTCGTTCTGCAAAGAACTTCATCAGGGACCGTATATAAAGAATAAAATCAATATACAATTACAGTATATAAAAAAAACATCCTATTCCCCCCATCCCTGTGTCCTCTTTAAATAGGGCTAATCCCCATGTTCATTGGTGGTTCCGTGGGTGGTATCCAGTATCTGCTATTCAATTGGTTCTGGGAAGGAGCTGTTCAGCTGTTTTTCATCCTCCCTGTGTTACTGTAATCAAATAAATTGATTACAGTAACACAGGGAGGATGAAAAACAGCTGAACAGCTCCTTCCCAGAACCAATTGAATAGCAGATACTGGATACCACCCACGGAACCACCAATGAACATGGGGATTAGCCCTATTTAAAGAGGACACAGGGATGGGGGGAATAGGATGTTTTTTTATATACTGTAATTGTATATTGATTTTATTCTTTATATACGGTCCCTGATGAAGTTCTTTGCAGAACGAAACGCGTAGGACCATACCGTTTTTTATTATACTTTATTATACTTTATTATATAAAAAAACATCCTATTCCCCCCATCCCTGTGTCCTCTTTAAATAGGGCTAATCCCCATGTTCATTGGTGGTTCCGTGGGTGGTATCCAGTATCTGCTATTCAATTGGTTCTGGGAAGGAGCTGTTCAGCTGTTTTTCATCCTCCCTGTGTTACTGTAATCAATTTTATTATACTTTATACTGATGGTGAATACTCACCTTTTATCAATAAAATACATCTTTTTTCTACCATTACCTGTTTGGAGTCCTGAGCATCATTAAGGAAGCCTAAGAAGGAGCCAAGGGATTACCAACCCCCCATTCCACTAGGGGAGGCACCCTATGAGCGATATATTCTACTTCATTCTGTGAGTGCATTTGTATTCAGCGGAAAACCATGTGTTAATTGTACTTCACTATTTTGTGTATATTTTTTGTGTTCCTTTTAGATTAACTGTCCAGCCGTATCCCGAAGTTCTGTGTTGCTTGTGGTTATCTATGTTAATAGGTCGTTTTCTCTGGGTAACGATCTTGGGAGGCTGTAATAATTAAGTTAAGTATCTGTATACATCTCACTACAGTTATTACCTTGAGTAGTGTGTATATTGTACTGTATTATCAACCTACCATAGCCCCAATAGTATTTGGCTGCTTTTTGATGCCATTAAACTAGGAGAGGGGAATGGGGCTGTAACTACCATAACCACTTCTACACTTGCTTCCCAGCCCAGTTCCTTTTTTGTATCTTAATTTTCCGGTTTTATTCAATAAAGTATTTTCCCATTAGATACTACTGGTACTTGAGGCTGTGGACAACTGTAATATTACCCCACTAGACAGATCTCTAAACTGTAATTTTTAATCTCGCCTCCCCCCCCCCTTTCAATATACCAGCACGGAGTCCCCCCCCTTGATTGGGGTGTATTCACCTTCGGCTAATACGTAAAGTTATATGGGTCCAAGCCCACTTGGTGGAGCTGGTACCACCGTACTGACCTCTATGTTCCTAATCCATTAATTGGGACTAGGTTACATAGCATTATTTATATTTACGTTTTGATCTTATATTATATACAGACACTATGTAGCAGTGAGGGGGATCTTATATTATATACAGACACTATGTAGCAGTGAGGGGGATCTATATTATATACAGACACTATGTAGCAGTGAGGGGGATCTTATATTATATACAGACACTATGTAGCAGTGAGGGGGATCTTATATTATATACAGACACTATGTAGCAGTGAGGGGGATCTTATATTATATACAGACACTATGTAGCAGTGAGGGGGATCTATATTATATACAGACACTATGTAGCAGTGAGGGGGATCTTATATTATATACAGACACTATGTAGCAGTGAGGGGGATCTTATATTATATACAGACACTATGTAGCAGTGAGGGGGATCTATATTATATACAGACACTATGTAGCAGTGAGGGGGATCTATATTATATACAGACACTATGTAGCAGTGAGGGGGATCTTATATTATATACAGACACTATGTAGCAGTGAGGGAGATCTATATTATATACAGACACTATGTAGCAGTGAGGGGGATCTTATATTATATACAGACACTATGTAGCAGTGAGGGGGATCTTATATTATATACAGACACTATGTAGCAGTGAGGGGGATCTTATATTATATACAGACACTATGTAGCAGTGAGGGGGATCTTATATTATATACAGACACTATGTAGCAGTGAGGGGGATCTATATTATATATAGACACTATGTAGCAGTGAGGGGGATCTATATTATATACAGACACTATGTAGCAGTGAGGGGATCTATTTATATGCAGATACTATGTAGTAGTGAGGGGGATATATATTATATACAAACACTATCTAGCAGTGAAGGGATCTTATATTATATACAGACACTATCTAGCAGTGAGGGGGATCTTATATTATATACAGACACTATGTAGCAGTGAAGGGATTTATATTATATACAGACACTATGTAGCAGTGAGGGGATCTATATTATATACAGACACTATGTAGCAGTGAGGGGGATCTTATATTATATACAGACACTATGTAGCAGTGAGGGGGATCTATATTATATACAGACACTATCTAGCAGTGAGGGGGATCTATATTATATACAGACACTATGTAGCAGTGAGGGGATATATATTATATACAGACACTATGTAGCAGTGAGGGGATATACATTATTTCTGCAGCTGTCACAGGGTTCATGCAGGCGGTTACCTCTCAGCAAGGCCATGGTCAGGCTGGGTGTGTGGCTGTCAGGCTGGTTAAGGTCACTGTCGGCCTGTACTGCTCTCCTTTACAGCTTTATTAACAGATCCTCCCCCTCAACTTTCACCCAGATCCTGCCCCTCCCCCAGCGTGTGCGCAGCTTTATCCAGGCTGGATCTCTGCACCCTGCAATGAGGAGTAATAATCCATGCAATATGGGATAACTCCTGCCATGGGGGTTAATAATCCCTGCAATATGGGATAACTCCTGCCATGGGGGTTAATAATCCCTGCAATATGGGATAACTCCTGCCATGGGGGTTAATAATCCATGCAATATGGGATAACTCCTGCCATGGGGAGTAATAATCCCTGCAATATGGGATAACTCCTGCCATGGGGGTTAATAATCCATGCAATATGGGATAACTCCTGCCATGGGGGTTAATAATCCCTGCAATATGGGATAACTCCTGCCATGGGGAGTAATAATCCCTGCAATATGGGATAACTCCTGCCATGGGGGTTAATAATCCCTGCAATATGGGATAACTCCTGCCATGGGGGTTAATAATCCCTGCAATATGGGTTAATAATTCCTGGGTAAAGGCACATTAAGGTACACTTCCTAGCCTAGATTGTAATAATGATTGCCCCATGCTATATGTTATGTTAAGGGAGTAGGTTTGGGTGTGGCTGCTCAATTCCTTATATATTATAATTATAATTATCATGTTGTAGAATTAGGCTTCCCCCTCACTGTGTCTGATATAATAACCCTGTATTCAGAGCGGACCTGCCCGCTGTGTGATAAATCAGGGGGATTATTGTGTTCTGAATGGTAACACATGTAACCGGACATTAATTCATTAAATGTCAGATTACCCTCCTGTGTCAGTGCTCAGTATGACCTCCCAGCACACTATGGGTTAAACCAGCATTGAAGGTGACTGGGCGGTGGATATAGGGCACATGTGGCCCAAGCTCCGCCCTCTGCCGCCATGTTTAAATCCCTCCCTTCCGCCTGAGCCCCCACGTGGGCTGGCAGGGTCTTTGTGGGAGAAGCTGCAAAGAGGGAGCTGAGTTTGCAGGTAGGTTCCCTGAATGCAGGGCGCTGTTTTGGGCAGTGAGACCCCCTCCCGGTCTGTGATGACTAGCCCACTGCGCAATCTGAAGAATAATAATAATTATAAACCATATGATAGAAGCAGTGCTGTATTATAATCTGAGACCAGGAGCTGCCATACAGGGGGTCCCCCAGAACTATCTCCCAGGGATCTGCATGTTGGTTTGTGTATCCCATCATGCAGTTAAAGTTAATTGTCGGTTGGGTTAATGTAACTGGAAATGTTATAATCATTCTGGATCTGCAGACTAAAACTATTAATGTGTTTATTTCCTTTCCCCACAGGTGTACTAGGAGAGCTCCGGTGTTATATCAAATTTCCCTACCAACGCTGATCTGTGATCTCAACTTGCAAGATTTTCATAACTTGTCAATGTCCTTGTTTGTATTTGTCGACTTTTCTGTTCTCTGTCAAAGCTTTTATTACTTATTTTATTAAATACACACGTCATTTAAAGGAACACTCAAAGCACCATGATGTCTACAGCTTGCAGTAGTGTTTATGGTTCTAGTAGTGCGGGGGGCAGGGGTGCACAACACCACACACTATCCACTACAGGCAGGGCTGGTACAGGGACCTTTTGGTTATACAGGTGAAGATGCTTTTCCCACCCCAGTAAAAAAATCCCTGGGAAGTTTTCGCACCAGGGCCCCTTGGTTTCTAGTTACGTCCGCTATTAAGCAATGACTTCTTAAAGATAATCTCTGGAGTGGTCAACTATAGGTACCCAGACTATATGAGCTCTTTGAAGTTGTCTAGTGCAGTGACCTTGTCCCCTGAAACTGCAATAATTGTATTGCAGGACTGAGACTGCCTCTAGTGGCTGTCAGAAACCTCAAAGGCACTTCCGGCTTGCTAGGTGACTTTTAGTTGCTCAAGTAGGTACGACACGACTACATTGTACTGCCACATTAGAGGGGATGGACCCTAGAGAGCCAGCATTAAACAGCTTGATGGCTTCCCCTAATGCAGGAGCGCTGGAAATATGTCATTAAGGTCTTTAAGCCACATGACACTCAAAAAAAAAAAAATGGTTTGCCTTCATTTTGGATGCAGTAAACTGAGTATGGCTGCAAACGTGTTTGTACCGGTTTCCGCAATGTTTGTGGTTGTCTCTTCAATATCTTCTCTCTGGTGTATTTTAGACTTGTGCTGCCCCAGGCTTGCTGAAACTCGGGCACCCCCCCATCTAAACCCCTTCCTGTCAAAGCCACACCTCTTCCTGTTTATAACCAACATGCACTTTAACAGAGACAGATACAAACTGATACACCCACTCAGGGACAGGCACACACTCTCAGACACATATACTGACACACAATCACTCATGCAGTCACTGACAGGTAGACGTACAGATGTACACACTCACCGATTTGACATACAATCACGTGCACTCACAGACAGGTATAGTCAAACACCGACAGTCACGCACCCACTGACAGACACAAGCACTCACAGGTATACACACGCTCACTGACCGACACACAAATTATTTATTTTTAATTAAAATCCACACAGCCTCCCCACCTTTAGAGAGCTGGAGTGAATTATTTACCTGGGGGTCCAGTGTAGATGCTGGGCTGGTTGGGCAGCTGTGCACGATCCTGTGCGCCACCCTCGTGGGGTTGAGTAATACATTATTCACAGACCGTGAGGTGGTTAGCTTTTTGGCTGTCTTAGGAACAGCCAAGTGTGGGATTGCTCTCCCTTAAACAGGTAGCCATTTACCTTGCGTGCATGTACATACATAGAAGTACTTTCACATAAACAGTCAGATAAATAGACAATGAAACACAAACTGAAGAGATTTAATCTCCCACTCTCTGCAGCGTCATGCCTAGTTGGTATTAGACCTCCCTTAGTGTCTAGTGGTGGGCAAGCAGGGGGCCTGTACACAACAATCATATGCTCCTTCCTACTTTGAACTCAGCAGTAGTGTAACAGGAAAAGTATGCCATGATCTCAATCTGTCTCTAAACCCTTTGCCCTATAGAAGTGGCAGGGCATGGCAGCTGCACAAAGGTCGTGATGCAGTAAAACTTTAACCTGGTTCCGGGAAAGAATGGTTAATTCACTGCCCAATACCTGGATCAGATGATGAGATGAGTGGGAGTACAGGAATAGAGCCACCGCTCCAAGATGTAACTTTTAGGAACATTTACATTTTTTTATACTATATTTGCCTCTATAGCCCTCTGCTATTATAACAAAGTATCTGTAACATATTTGCTGGGTTATAAGATCAGGCCCTAGAAGAATATGTCGTCAAAATCTATCCATATCTGCAGTCCTTCATCTTCTTAAAGGACCACTCTAGGCACCCAGACCACTTCAGCTTAATTAAGTGGTCTGGGTGCCTGGTCCAGCTAGGATTAACCCTTTTTTTTTTTTTTTTTTTTAATAAACATAGCAGTTTCAGAGAAACTGCTATGTTTTTAAATAGGTTAATCCAGCCTCTAGTGGCTGTCTCATTGACAGCCGCTAGACGCGCTTGGTGCTTCTCACTGTGAAAAATCACAGTGAGAAGACGACAGCGTCCATAGGAAAGCATTACGAGTATGTTTTCCTGGCACTATAGTGGTCCTTTAAGTTCCAGAATCAGGGGTAGGCAACCTTTGGCACTCCAGATGTTGTGAACTACATCTCCCCTGATGCTTTGCCTTCCCCTGGCTGTAATGCTACAATAGACAATTTGAATGGAGGCTTTTTCTTTATGGTAGTTGCAAAAAGGGATTAGAGAACCACTATAGATAAGTGTATGTGCTATCCTTGTATTTAATGGTTTGCAGAACTTTCATAATTCAGACATGTCAAGTCACACAATATTATCATGTGACACAATATCTCCAAACAGTCCTCACGGTCATTTGGCATAGCAGCCCAGTCACCTGGTGTCAGTTGCACAGTTTGTGTTTAGAATCAGTCAGTCAATACTTGTGATGGATTTCTGGGCTTCTAACCAAATGCCTGTGTGCTTCAGTGATATTTGGCTCATGGCATGCATACGCATCAGGATGGCAAGCCCCATTTTCTGATAGGCATGTGACGCAAACTGTGTCATGGATCCCCATTCCCTCCTCCAAATTTATTTGACAGATGTGATTATTATAATCATAAATGTACTTTAAAAAATCCATTGTTACTACAGTCTTTCTCTGGTATGCTTAATAACACATGAGTCAGACACACTGCTGGTTTTCAGTTTGATACTTGATTTACACTAGAAAGATTTCGGCTATTGCTCTATGGCAGCTTCTAGTGCAACCGGCTCCACCTGCAGTGTACACACATTATAACAGCAAGTAGGAGAAACTGGTAGAAAACCTATGCATTATAAACAATCCACACACATACTTCATTAAAATAAGAAAATAGAACAGAGGCACAAAAGACAATGTTTAAAATAATCAACCATGTTTTTTTTTAAGCCATATACATCACTTTGTATCGTGCGTCCTGCATGTCATTGTGCTGGCGTAAACATAGGCCAATCCTATCACGGACAACACAGATTTAAAAAAACAAAAAACTTCTAATTCAAGTCATTTTGACAGTGGAAGAAAAATAAAATTAGTTTCAGTGCTTTAAACTTGCAGATATAATTACAACTTGACGGCATCCAGTTTATACAATGCAAAGTTTGGTCCTAAATCTTATATAGATATTTATATATTATCTTCTTGTTCTTTTGTGTGCGTGTGTTTTTTTTATTTTTTACGGATTATTTTTTATTAAAAAAAAAATAAAATAGTCTTTTTAAACTTTGTTAAGAAAATCCAGGTGAAGAGCAGCAGGGATGTGGATGGTATCCAACGTTATAGCAGAAGGACTAAAAGGGAATAAAACTGGGAATATAAATTTCGAGTCCAGCAATAACTGGGGAGGATCGTTTCGTTCTTGTAGCTGGGCCTGCAAAATAAATGACATGCCAAATTGAGAAATGTGCATTAGCCGCACTTGTAAAATAAATGATAAACATAACGAAGGAAAACCAAAGCAGTTTGTAAAGAGGAGATCAAATAGGCATGTTAGGTTAAAACCCATTCAATCTCTTCATCCCTGTTCTATGAACTGTATGTAAAGCCGGATTGTAATCTGAGGATGTCATATGTGCAAGTCATTTCCATCAGAATAAATTGCAACCAGTGCTAAATTAAATAATGGACTAGATAAAATATATACAACACTCTATCGTTTAGGATTTGGGCTTAGCATTTTAACTGCTACTTGTCTAGTGATTGCTGTTTACTCTCCTGATGGAATATTAGTATGACACGAGTCCAGCTTAATTATGTTTCATTAGTGCGTCAATATTCCTTCTTGTTGCTAGTCTATAATGAGAAATTCAAAATGTAGTTATGATGCTCAGCCCTAAACCCAGCAGTGAGAGGGAAGAATCAAAAAGTGCTATGGGCATCCGGAAGCACTGGTGTATTGGTGATCCAGATATCTGCCTAAAGGGATAGGATGTGACAAGGCAGATGTAGAAAATAAGTCCTATACTCCAGTACTATAGATCAATGTTTTCAGCCTCTTAGTGCATGGTATTAAACTTAATATATGTGGAAGGTTAATGAGAAAGTGAGATTTCCTTGTTATGATGTCACAGGTTGAAGGGGTGGTTTGTGGGTGCATGGAATTTCTTGAATTTTATGACAAAAAAACAGAAGAAACCCATAGCTTTCAAGCTCTGTCAGTACACCGATATGCTATATAGTGCTATAATGACATCAGTATGTTTGTTATAATATTTGGAGTATCCCTTTTAAATGTTAACGTAAAACAAAATGTGTTTTTAACAGCCTGCCTATCCCCATCAGACTCTCCCATAGTCTTCAATTGTTTAAAAAGTCCCTCAAAACACATGCCTATGAACTCCCAGAGTAACTTATCGATACTTATCCAAATCTGTCTCTTGCTCTTCTAAAGAGCCACACTCCACTCTCCCCTCCAGATCTGCTATTTTTCCACCTTGTTTGGTGGCTGCCACCATTGCTGCCCTGTTGTGTATTTGTACCCCACCTCCTCTATACTGTAAGCTCATTTGAGAAGGGCCCTCATTTACCTATTGTTCCTGCATCACTGTGTAATTGTCTCATTTATTGTAAATCCCCCCCACCTTTCATAATATTGTAAAGCACTGCAGAATTAGTTGGCGCTATATAAATACCAATAATGATAATAATAATGTAGCCATTCCATTACACACTGTGCTTGGTGCTTTACCTGAATAGTTCTGATAAAGGAGACTGTCACACGTTCTTCAAATTCATTCACTGGTGTATACAGATTAAGTATTTTTACAATCTGCAAAAAAAAAAAAGAATATAAAACATTATTCACCAGTACTTTGACCATTATTAGTATCACTTCCTTAAAACATCTATAGTGGGGAAAGTAATGGAAACCATGTTAAAGGGTAGGATTGTTGAACATCTAAAAACACATGGATTTCAAAATCAGAGACAACATGGGTTTACTTCAGGGAGATCATGCCAAACTAATCTTTTTGATTTTTTTTGATACGGTAACTAAAATAATAGATCAGGGTGGTGCAGTAGACATTGCTTACCTAGATTTCAGTAAGGCTTTTGACACTGTTCCACATAGAAGGCTTATCAATAAACTGCAATCTTTACGTTTGGATTCCAATATTGTTGAATG